AATAATACGTAAATTTTAACATATATATTTTAATTAAATAAATTAATACATAATATATAATAAGGGTTAAATATAAAATTTTACAAAATAAATGATATAAATAAAAATGAAAATGTAAGTTGGAGGGTAAAAATTGTAAATTTAGAAAATCAGATTTTTTAAATGAATGGGTCCCACACAAACTAACCTATTTCTACCAATAAAACTAAAACTAACCTATTTCTACAAACCTTTTTCAAAACCAACCCATTTTTGCAAAAAACTCCACAGTCCACCCCTGTTTCATCCCCAGTTAGGGATGGAAACGGGGCGGATATTTCATCCCCCTTCCTCGATCCCAACCCTCGTCTAAGCCCCCCACCCCACCCCACCCCACCCCACCTAATCCTTAACGGGTTCAGTGGGAAGGAATCCCTGCCAGGTTCGGGGAAACCAAAGGAATCCCACCAAGATGCAACGAATCAATTCCTTTCTAAAGCGCAATTTATGGGTGGGCATGAGATTATAAGTGATCAAGGGTTCAGATCTCTTCTTAAGCTTCACATCATAACTTCCTTTCTCACACAATCTTTTGCCACACACACACACACATATAAATAAATTACCCGGCCCCGGTTCGACTTTTCAAGGTTCCCTAGACCTGACACCCGTCTTTACAAGGAATCACAAGCCTCAAAAGCGGTGGGTGAACCGGGTTATCCTAGGGTCAAGGAAAAAACCATGCCTACTTCACATACCATATTTAGGTTTTTAGATTTATGAACAAAACAATAAATTAATTAATTACTTCCTTCCATGCCCCTCACATACATACACACAATTTGGGTGTTTAGATAGTTAAGAAAAGATTGATTCTGTCATGCATTGGAGAAGGCTATGTACGGGGTTTTGGTCGTGAGTTCATGTCACCATCATCCATCTTTTCAATTTTTGGTAATGAATATAGAAATCTTGAAAATGATGTTAGATGTTAAAGTCGTTAAATGCCTTGACTTTAGTTTGCATTTGAATAGAAGAGGTGGGAGAGTTGTGACATTATATGGGGGAGTTCATTTCAGAGTATGAAGGGGAAAAGAAGAGAGGGGTTAGTGGTTCACCCAGAACGGAAGAAGGAGGATGGGGGTAATATGGTATTCTCTCTCTCTCTCATATTCATAGAACTTTTTAAACAAAACTAGGTGGACCGAATCTGTAACAAAACTGAAACTACAGTAACCATATTTATAATTATTTTGTTTGAAGACAAAACTTGTAATTTAGTTTTTTCTTTTTTTTGTTTCCACCTCATTTTTTTTTATTATATATAAAACCAATTAAGAGTTTATTAGAAAACAAATTTACAAAATAACTTAGAGTAATCTAACTTTTGCACCCTATGGACGTTATCACCCATTATCAACTCTTGTTCATTTTTAAACTAATTATAATTTTTGTCAATGTGGTTACCATTTTATTTCTCTTTTGGTCCATCTCACTAACTTCCGTTAAAAGAGTCTGTTACCTCATAGGGTCTTTTTATCATTTCTTTAATTTTCTATTAAGAATGAAATAAATAAATTATTACTACTACTAGTACTTATATATATATATATATATATATATATATATATATATGACCATCCCACTCACCATCTTCTCCGACAAAGATGTACATCCTCAAATCAAAGATGAACATCTCAGGTGAAGATGAATCGTGAACCAACCCTCCTCTTGTCATCTTCTCCAACGAACCTTACAAACCAAAATAACCGGAAGATCATGAATACCAAAAGCAAACCTGTATGACAAACCAAAATCTAAAATCTAAAATCAAAACCCTAAATCAAAACAAATCCATATCCAAAAACCTAAAATAGAATTCTAAATCAAAACCCAAATTAGAACCCTATATTTAAACCCAACTCAAAAACGAAATCAAAACCCACATCAAAAACTAATCAAACCCTAAATATAAATGAAAACGAAAACAAAAAAGAAAGTAGTAATGCACTACCTAAACTTTGGATCAAACCAATCTTAGGAGCCGTTTACCTAAATGCTTACCTGGTAAGCGCTTACTGTTAGAAGTCAACACTATAATTTATTTTACCGAGTAAGATTGTAGTATATCAAAATGGTATCGTACGCACCAATTTAACTAGTAAGTGCTTACCCGTGTAAGAGTCGCCACCCTTACTTACCGAATATGATTCTTCATCTTTATCATTACACTTATCGAGTAAGATTTTTGACCCTTGTAATGTTCATCCGATAAGAAAAATTACCCACTTAGCACTTACTAGGTAAGTGTTCATTAAACGGCCCCTTAGATACCCCATAATGAAAACAGAAACAAAACCCAATCGAAACCAAACCCATCAGGAAAGCCAACTTTCTACCCGGACCCAGACCCAGACCCAGACCCAAACCCAAACCCAAATCGAAAATGGAAGAGGTTAGTGGAACAGATGGACGATGGTTTGGAAACAAAATTAGACAGGACTTTGAAACGGGATTTCTATAAGAAAAAAAGAACATTGTGAATGTGATTGTGACCAAGTCAAAGGAGGAAGTTACAAGGAACGTGGTTCTGTCACTCACCAAATGCTTATTTGTGTGTCTTAAGTTCCGTATGTTTGTATCTCAACGCGTTAAGTTATTCTGCAGCCACACTATAAATACCTTTTCTTTCTTCACAAATCATATCATTCATCCCTCTCATTCCATCATCATGTCAGCACCCGATCAACCTCACCTCAACGGAGCTTACTACGGCCCTTCCATCCCACCTCCCACCAAAAAGTCCAAATCCTATCACCGTCCTGGCCGTGGTGGTGGATCCAGCTGCAACCCTTTCTCATGGTGCTGTAGTTGTCTCTGCGGTTGCGTCTTCAATCTCGTCTTCCAAATTCTTATTACCATCCTCGTCCTCCTCGGTATTGCCGTTCTCGTTTTCTGGCTCATCTTCCGTCCTAACGCTCCCAAGTTCCACGTCAACGATGCTGTTCTCACGCAGTTCAACCTATCCCCTGATAACAACACTCTCTACTACAATCTCGCCGTCAACATGACCTTCCGTAACCCTAACCGCAGGATCGGGATTTACTACGACAAAATCCAAGCAAACGCCGAATACCACGACCGGAGGTTTGCGACTAGGGATTTGGAAACGTTTTATTTGGGGCATAAAAAGGAGAAAGATGTGGGAACTGTGTTCAGTGGATCGCAAGTGGTGGTTCTGGGAGATGATAGGTCGAGATACGATTCGGAGAGAAGCGATGGAGTTTACTACATCGATTTGAAGCTGAGGCTAAGGATTAGGTTGAAGGTTGGGTGGGCGAAACCCAAATTCAAACCCAGATTTGAATGTGATCTGAGGATTCCTATGGGTTCTGGAGGCAGGGCTCAAGGAGGATTTCAGAGAACCAAGTGTGATGTCGATTGGTGATTCATGATTCTTGGATGGTTTCCATTGATCCGTCGATGGATGTTACATTTTGGTAGATATGATATGATATGATTATGTTTGAGAGATTCGTTTATGTATTTGGATTATTATTTCACTTTCTTATATGTCTTGTTTATAAATAAAGAGATTTTTATTTTTTAAGACTCTTGCTTTATCTTGAATTTTTGACGGTTAGCTTATAAAAACAAGACCATGTTGTGTGATAATTCATCTGCACCCTTTATTATGTTTAATCACGTTTATTATCATATATAATAAGAATGTTTTCGATATGATAATATAATCCATTACATGTAATACTAAATTAAATATACAGGGGACCCCACATCATCTGATCTTTTTTACATTTTATCAAATGTGATAAAGATATTCTCTTATTTTTATAAAATAAAAATATTGTCGTTTAAACCTGAAATGTCCTTTTTCAAACTTTTTTAAGAAAAAGTGTACCTCCTTTCGTTACGTAACCGAAATTATTTTTTATTTTAAATTACTTTTCGTTTTCAACTTCCTTCCCACTTAACTTAGAATGCAATTTAATAATTTGAACCATCATATGGTATATTGTAATTAATTCAAATTCAATGTTCATTACATTTTCCTAGTAATTATTACGATATAAGAACATAGATTGGGATTAAACCTTTATCAATAAATAGAATATTGAATCTATTTTATAAAATTAGATTGTTCTTATCTATTTTGAGACAAAATCCTAAATTATATCGATATTTAATGGAGAAAACAACGTCCAATCCAATTTATTTATTGACAATGACACCACCAATAAGTCATACATGATTATAGCTGGTTACTTTGTTTATTAAAATATTAAAAATGTTTTCATACGTGTTTCTAAAAATCAAAAAAGTTAATTTACATATAATTTTATATTTCCAGTACACTCATAAAATAAAGTATTTCAATTGTTGTTAAAAATGTTAATTACAAACATTAGTAACAGGTTATTTCCTAATGGCCCCGGTCCGAGTTTTTGAGAATATTGTTACCAAACTCTAAATATATGGTATCCGACATATTCTATAGGTATAAAGTTAATAGGTAGATAAATGAAGGACTTGAATGGTTATTTCTAGAAAACAAATACGAAGATATTGATTATCAATTAAGCCACAAATCTGAATTACTAGTTCCAAAAAGACAAAGGTGAACCATAAGGGTGGTGTCTGATTGGTTTGAGCTTGACTCCAAATATCAAAAGTATCTGAAGGTCCCAGGTTCAAATCCAAGGAGAAATAAAAATCTTCTTGTGGCCACAGAGGTTCAAATACGGTGACTCCGGGCTATATGCAAAATAGATGGTTGTCCTGGGATTAGTCGGTTTGCATAATGAGTTGGATATCCAGGTTAATAAAAAAAAAAGACAAAGGCGTGCAATGTTGATAGCATTGATTGAAAACTAAACCACCTAAATCAATTAACAAACCAGAAATGGTTGTTTAATAATATAGACTATAGAGGAAGAGGTCAAAAGCAACGGCAATAATACGCGTTGGGCCGTTCCTATTTCAAGTGCACATTTAAATAACCAATAAAAAAATGCAAAGTCAAATTAAAAATAGATGTGATTCAACTGTAAATAATATTAAAATAAATATTTATTAATTTTTTGTTTGTATATATAACTTTTCCATTATCTTGTGGACAGCATTGTTTATGTTTATTCATTATTTTATGGAAAAAAGAAGTATTATTTTAGAATTTTGTTATTGTTTTTTTGTGTGATGAAACAACGATATACTGAATTATATTAATTATCAAAGAAACAATAAAAATTAACAAATATGATAGCAAATATTTAACTACAATAATTAAAGTTTAAATGATTGGTTAAACGATGGTGAAATTCAAATCAAAATCAGCTAAACTTGGCTTGACGACGTGATATAGTGCATAACCGAAGATATCTAAGGAGATGTTTGGTTGGTTTTGCATTAAGTGTTGTATGAATGAGATTGTCTGTATAGATTGGAAACGTTATTTGTTAATCTTAGCTCTCTGGGATATTATATGTGTATGTAGATTACAAATATAGGATTCTTGAAAATACTAAGAAAATTTTCCGTGGTTGTAAAAGTATTTGAACCATTGACTTTTCAGAAAGAGATCCAAAGTCCCAAGTCTTGTTGTTAGTCAGCTAGAGATGGCCAAAAACCAGTCTCAGATTGTGCCACTACCAAATCAGTCCTTTTAAAATCGAACCAACTGGTTCTTACCAAAAATCTTAGGACTGATCCTGACCTAGTAACCAATCCCGAGTCCATTCTAGTTTTACAAAAAATGAATTTTTTTAAAACAATTTTTTACACAAAATGTTATTAAGTTTTTTAATTTTGATTTTTGTAATTTAGCATTAAAATGCATTTTAAATAATACATTACTTGAAAAAAAAAACATCAAAAAACTTTATTATAATTAAAAAAAAAACTTATAAAAATTTGAAAAATCAATCCTATATATAATTGATCCGAGTCCCAGGCTAGACTGAACCTTACTTAGCTATCTCAAAATTGAGCTAACACATCAAAGTTAGGTCGTTAACCCGGACCAGGTTTATGGGTTACAATCTATTTTATTCAAATTAAAGGAGTTCGTGCCATGGTTGTTAATTAAGGTTATGTTGATGACAAATAGCCACTATTGAGTATGGTTGCATATGGATTAGGTTGGTGTGTTTAAGGTATTTAAACAACTCAACCCAATGTTTGTGGTTTGAAAGATTCCATCTACAAACCTAACCAAACCCAAGCAGAATTACTATCCAACCAGCGAAACTCAAACCATGTGGGTTGGTTGGGTGGACGAAGTTGAAACTTTGGTACATCATTTTACAATTCAGCTAAGTGTTTTGTTTAGATGAGTAAACTAAAATTAGAACATACAGAAAAACTAACAAACTCAAAAAAATTGAAAGTTCATACAAATAAGAAGATAAAATTGCGGTTTGAAATTGTAATATAATTTTTATATAGCTAACTGTGGGTCGGTCCAATGTATATATATTAACCAAGGACTTAACAATCATATAAAATCCTTAGTATATAAAGGCATCGGGTCATCGGGTTAGGTTAGATTAGGTTAGGTTCAAATTATCCTAACCCAATTCAAACTCAATAAATGTGGTTTGATCTAATTTTGCATCAATTATGTGTCACGTTACTTCAGGTTGAGTTTTTTTTTTTTTTTTGGGTTAGGTTGGCCAGGTTGGTTAGGGTTCTAAGTACCCCTACTAGTGAGTCTATATTAAATGGACTTGGGTGATTCTCTTAGACTCGAAAGCTCAAAACAAATTGGTTTCTTAGGATGCTTTTAGTATGCAGAATGGATGGGACGAGATGGGACGAGATGGAACAAAAAAATAGTTTCATGTTTGGTATGCTATGGGATAAAAATAAGATAAGACAACATGAGACAAAACCTTGATTTCATGGGACAAAACTAATTGAAAACTTTTCGAGTTCCAATCGCTAAGTTTCATCCCTAAGTTTTCGATTTCTCCATGGTTTTCGAGTTCCATGGTTGTTGTGCAAAGGGTTACAATCGAAATTTTTGTTGTGCGTAGGGTTATAATCGAAATCGATTTGTTGATTTCACGCAACTGGAAACAAGCCTGAATATGCTATAGACGCATTGGAAAATATGAACATGAAAAATGATGGCGGTTTTTCCATTGAAGTTAATGTTCCCCACATTCCAATTCCTTCTAATACAACTTCTCATTCCTCTATTCCAAATGAAGGTGAAGGAACAAGTAAAAGATAAAAAGGAAAACTGACCTATCTAAGCTAGTGGAAGAAACCAATAATGAACTCCAAGAAGAAACTAATCAAATAAAAAAAGTTGGTTTCAGTCCTCTCGGATTCTACAACCGAAATGGATGGCTTGAACAATGAGTTGAAGTGACTTGGACTTGGTGTGATAGAAATCATTTGAATGATAAACCATCCCAATATTGTTTTTGGAAGGGTTTGGATGATGATGTGAAACTATAATTTGTGAATTCAGTTTATGATGAGTTTAAGTAATAGTCCTTAAATATGGTGAAAACAATTGTTGTTTGAAATGATTAAATTATTATTGGTACATTTGACATGTTTGTGAAGACAATTGTGGTCTTCGGATGTTTAAACTTTTGATGATGGTATCACACGTGTTATTTACAGGGCCGTCCATGGGTCTGTTACATAAGCTATCCAGAACAGGGCCCCCAACATCTTGGGGCCCAAATTTTACAGCCCGTTACTATGTGGACTATGGTACGCCTCTCTTTCTCTATTTACAATCACACAGCGCCTAAAATCAGACCAGAATCCTATTGGCGATTCCTAAATCGGTAAATCCAAATGGTCGAAGAACGTTAGAACGAGTCCACGATAGGTCGAACCGTCGAAGTGAAGAATGCGTATGCCACTAGATGCCTCGATCTCCCCTCTCATCTCTATCCGCGATTGTCGATTGACTTCTTCAAAGAGGGCTAATGATGATATACAACGGCAACGAAAACAACGGTCAAATTTTACTATTTTAGATGATTTTTGTTAAGTATATAAGTATGTGTTTGGTCGATTTGTTGGTTACTCGTTATCTAATTGCTATTCGCTATTCTTAAATTTCAATCTCAACGATTTATTTGGTCCATTACTCTTGTTTTTTGTTGATTTCATCATCTGTCAACTGTCATATGTGTTGTTGGTAACTTGGTTGGATGATTTTGACCTAATTCCTAAATCCTAAAGGTGAGAAGTATGCTCCTAACTTGGTTGGACAATTTTGTCAAATTCAATTCTTTGTCTATAATTCTTTATACACAGCATTCTATCTCTATGATTATGATTTATCATTTATTGATTTATGAAGTATTTTGTTGGCTTCTTGGGTTTGGTGGCTTTAGACCTCTAAAATAAGAAGCATCATTCAGGAACTGTCATTTCATTTTTTTTAAGCAATAAAAAGATGAATAGATATAAAGCATAAACCATAAAGACAGTCCATCCTATGAGACTATGAGAGACATAATTGGTTGTTTTTCAACAAACAAAAAAGGGAAGGTTGAATTATGTGTAAAATGGGTGAGCAGGGAATTAGGTTCAAATGACCAACTTCTTATTTCTTAATATATG